TGTATCATATCTCATGTAGAGGGCCCCATAAGAAAGTGATACCACATTAAATATTAGGACGTCTCTAGTTCTTTAAATTTGTATCATATCTCATGTAGAGAACCCTTAAGAAAGTGATACCACTTAAAATATTAGGACGTCTCTAGTTCTTTAAATTTGTATCATATCTCATGTAGAGGGCCCCATAAGAAAGTGATACCACATTAAATATTAGGACGTCTCTAGTTCTTTAAATTTGTATCACATCTCATGTAGAGGGCCCCATAAGAAAGTGATACCACATTAAATATAAGAACGTCTTTAGTTCTTTAAATTTGTATCATATCTCCTAACGAGGGCCCCATAAGAAAGTGATACCACATTAAATATAAGAACGTTTTTAGTTCTTTAAATTTGTATCATATCTCATGTAGAGGGCCCCATAAGAAAGTGATATCACATTAAATATTAGGACGTCTCTAGTTCTTTAAATTTGTTTCATATCTCCTAACGAGGGCCCCATTAAAATGATACCACATTAAATCTGAGGACATTTTCCTCATACTCTTCTAAGATAACTCAAGTTGTAAACAAAACCAGATACATAGATCAGCTACGAAGGAGTTTCGCAAATATATTCTCACATGTGATACCTAAATAATACGTAGTAAACAAACAAATTATGCCTGTCCTTGTCCAACTGGTATGCCCTGTAGTTATACAAATGTATCACAAAAATAGTCATGGGAGCCCGCAGGGGAACCTACCCAGATGTTGTTATCAGGGGAGGTTACACTGATTAATTAATGAGGGGAGGTCACACTGATTAATTTTATAAGGGGATGTCACACTGATTTATCTATAAGGGGAGGTCACACTGATTAATTTATAAGGGAGGTCACACTGATTAATTTTATAAGGGGATGTCACACTGATTTATCTATAAGGGGAGGTCACACTGATTAATTTATAAGGGGAGGTCACACTGATTAATTTATAAGGGGAGGTCACACTGATTAATTTATAAGGGGAGATGACACTGATTAATTTATCTCTAGAAGTCATCCCTATCAATTTAAATCAGGAAAAGTTAACCGGATTAATTTATCAGGGGAGGCTACCCTGGTTTATTTATCAGGGGAGTCAACTGGATGTTTTACTGAGGGGAAGTTACCCTGATTGATTTTTCAGGGGAACTCACCCAGATGTTTATACCAGGGGAGGTAATCTAGATGTCTTAATCAGGGCAGGTAGCCTTGATTAATTTATGAGGGTAAGTCTCACTGGTGTTACTTCAGGGTAAGTCCGCTGACGTTTTAAATTAAAAGACACACGTTATTTCATTCCCCGCTAAACGGCTGGCATAAGCGCTGACATATTCCAACAGATCTAAACAGATTCATATGTGTTAGTTTGATGTGCTTTAAGTTCTCTACCGGTTTAGTATCTATTCTATTTCTGGGTGGCTACAATGTGAACTTTTGACTCCGCAGCTAAGGACGCAGCACAGTAAATTAAGCAGTCAAGAGAAATCTAGTTTGCACACCTTATTTTAGTCTAGTTCTTATGACGTTTTATTTTCTCCCTTTGATTATTATATATGCATTTGATGTTTATGTCTTTGATGCTGTGTAAAATCTATCAAATAAATTATTATTACTGAAAAAAAAAAATCAGTATCTTTAGGAAAATCGAAAATCGCCCGACCCATTCTTCCCCCCCCCCCCCCCACCTTCTTTACTTGACTCGTTAAAGACCTGAATTTGACATCTGAATTTGCCAGCTTCCCCCATCTACTGGTACGTAATATTTCAATAGTTTTTTGATCCATTCTGTATCGCTATAAAAAAAAATAACAGTTGGTTTTTAAATTTTGACCCGTAAATCCCAGAGGGCAGGTCTTATCTTGTCTGGTGCCACGCCCTCCTACCCCCCCCCCCCCTCCCTCCCTCCCAGCATATGTCTTCAGCTTGGTCGCCACTTCCTCAGGTTTAAATGTTGCCCCGTGGGGGGAGGGGCGAATGTGACCGATTAAACAAAACCTCTGGTCAGCCGTTTAGTTGGCTGGTTGGTTTCCGTGTCTGGTTAGTGGGATGGCGATGGTCAATGTATCTACAGCAACACTGTGGTTGTAGGATGCCACTGTCCAGTAGACGGGTATGGGGGGGTGGGGTACTGACACATGACGTTTGTAGGGGTCACATGGGCACTGACACATGGACACTGACAGATGGACACTGACTGATGGAAGCTGACAGATGGACACTGACAGATGGACATGAACACATGAACACATGGACACTGACACATGGACACCGACACATGGACACTGACACATGGACACTGACACATGGAAACTAACACATGGAAACTGACACATGGACGCTGACACATGGACACTGACACATGGACACTGACACACACACTGACACATGGACACATGGACACTGGCAAATGGACATGGACACTGACACATAATGGACATTGACAAGTCCCTCTGACATGACACCATCACGAGGTGTCAAATCTTCCAATTGAAATGTGACATTTTTTTAGATGACAGATGTCATTTAGACTAGATTTATCAGATACATCTCGCAACAAGTCTCAAAATGTACTTCGATCAGATAAATATAGCATCAAAATGTCCCAAAAAAGTAAAGTTATTTTTCAAACCTGACATTCTATGGGGCAAGTGATGTAGAGTTTACCTGTTTCTGTGAGCTCAGCATATGTAGGGATGGTGTGGTCAGCACTATGCCCAGCCGACTTTACTTCCTCTAACGTGTTCACTTGAACCCGGATTTGACCTCGAGACTTTCGTATTAGCCGTCTACCGCTCAACCTCTAAGCCAAACCGTCATCCACCCCCCCCCCCCTCCAAAATAATATCATATAGTTCACATAAATAATCTAGACAGAAAATCTCACATAGTTTTAGTTTCAAATACAACAAAAGTTATATTTGCCATTGTAATTGTTTTAATTTGATCTAAACACCAAAAAAAAATCAAATTTCAAATTATATTTTTTAATTATGTTTTTTTATATTTGATATGAGTTCTCTTCCCGTGTTTGACCCCACTAATCCATCAGACTTTGACCCCGCTAATCCATCAGACTTAACACAACGGCCAACGGTGTATCCGCCCTTGTAGTCTAAAGTTACCAACCACTTCAAAATCCCCGAACCCACTTCCTTCTTCTCCAAAGAAACCCATCACGGCCGGCCTTTTGAAAACATTTTTCCAGCCTCTCCCGTCGAAGAAGACCGCTAAAGTAAAGACGGAGCTTGGCCAATTGTAGTTCTAAACCCGCAGCTCGGTGGCGCGGTTGATACAACTTGTACGTCTGCCTGTCGTCTGTCTCTTTAATTTATCGATTTCATCAGCCCGTGGCCGCATTTGTTTTCATAAAGAAAAACACGGCCATTGTTTTTTTTAGTTCGGTCGTGTGAGCAGGATATTGTCGGTGGGATATCAGGGTTGGGATAATGGGATGTGGTTAAACAGTGCTGGGATAATGGGATGTGGGATAACATTGCCGGTATAATTCGATGTTGTTTTATTTTATTTTAATACATAAAACATACGGGTTGGTATTTTAAGACGGTACTCATGCCTGTCTTGTTATTTGATAGTTGATACACCCCCCCCCCACCCCACACCCCACACCCCACACACACGCCGCCTCCTCTCAAGCTCCTCCGTATCTTCTTCAGCTTTCATTGAACTGGCCAGGTAATTATGTTATTGGAACCGTCTGCCTCTTTGAGATCTGCCGGGTTGGATTTTTTTCCTTTGTTTTGTTTTTCAAATACTCGAGGGTTGTTTTTTTCATTTTCCTTAAATGTCCTGGAAGAATTATTTCAACACAATCCAAGATATCAGTTCTTGTGATCAAATGGCCGAAGGGCAGTCGTGTGCTAAGATGGCCAACTTTAAAATTGTGTGCTAAGATGGCCAACTTTAAAGTTGTGTGCTAAGATGGCCAAGTCAAAATTTGTGTGCTAAGATGGCCAAGTCTAAAATTGTGTACTAAGATGGCCATTTCTAAAGTTGTGTGCTAAGATGGCCAACTTTTAAGTTGTGTGCTTAGATGGCCAAGTTTGAAGTTGTGTACTATGATGGACAGGTATAAAGTTGTGTGTTCAATAGGACAAGTCCGTAAATGTCTGATTGTGTATGCTAAGAGAATGTAATGAATGAGAAACAACAAAAGAGCTAAACATAATTATTCTGTCATAATCTGCAGGTTACGTCATAAAGCTTTTATTTCAACATTCACAGCCTCAATTTATACAGTAACCTGTTGCTTAACTTTAACCTTTACTCTCTAAACCATCTTGCCGTACTAACTATCTTTACTCTCTAAACCAACTTAACGTACTAACCTTACTCTCTAAACCAACTTGCCGTACTAAATTGCCTTACTCTCTAAACCAACTTGCCGTACTAAATTTCCTTACTCTCTAAACCAACTTGCCGTACTAAATTTCCTTACTCTCTAAACCAACTTGCTGTACTAACTTTACGCTCTAAACCAACTTAACGTACTAACTTAACTCTCTAAACCAACTTGCTGTACTAACTTAACTCTCTAAACCAACATGCCGTACTAACTTTACTCTCTAAAACAACTTGCCGTACTAACTTTACTCTCTAAACCAACTTGCCGTACTAACTTTACTCTCTAAAACAACTTGCCGTACTAACTTTACTCTCTAAAACAACTTGCCGTACTAACTTTACTCTCTAAAACAACTTGCCGTACTAACTTTCCTTACTCTCTAAACCAACTTGCCGTACTAACTTTCCTAACTCTCTAAACCAACTTGCCGTACTAACCATTAAAACTTGTTTCCCTTCCATCAGGACGCGCCCATAAACACCTCCAGAACCTGCTCACGTTCAGACACCGGACGACTCACCCCTGACCCTACCAGCTGTGTGAAGAATGTGACCACAGACCCACCCTAACCCTCTGACGTCACACCCCCCCCCCCACCAGCTGAGGTCAAGATGGCCAACCACCAGTACATCGAGTTGATCATCCAGTTCATGGTGACCAACAACCACTCGGACTTTGACTTCAAGGTGCCCTTCGTCAAGCCCTCCCTGCGCTACGTCTACCCCTTCCTCATCTTCCTCCACGTCGTCATCTGTCTCGTCGGCGTCGTCGGCAACACCGCCATCGTCGTCGTCATCGCCAAACGTCGTCTGTACCAGGTGGGTTCACTTTGACGTCATCAGGTGGGTTCACTGTGACGTCATCAGGTGGGTTCACTGTGACGTCACAGTGTGGGTTCACTGTGACGTCACCAGCTGGGTTCACTGTGACGTCACAAGGTGGGTTAACTGTGACGTCTCCAGGTTTGTTCACTGTGACGTCACCTTGTGGGTTGACTGTGACGTCATCAGGTGGGTCCCACAGTGACGTCACGAGGTGGGTTCTACTGTAACGTCACTTCTTCTACATACTATACAAATAAACGGGTCGTTCACTGTTTGGTTTAATTAGCTTCTCCCCACTACAGCACCGACGTAATAAATAGATCACGTGTTCAGCTAATTAAATTAACTGTTGCTCACAGAGGCTTTACACAATTTAAATATACACAATAATGTCATAGCCTATAGCGTTAAGTACAGTAATGCAATGTCATATAGCGTTAAATACAGTAATGCAATGTCATATAGTGTTAAATACAGTAATACAATGTCCTATAGCGTTAAATACTTACAGAGCATAAAAAATCGCACAAACGTTATATTGTGACGATTTTTGGTTTATAGTAATGTTCTATATTGCTATACTTTTCACAAAATGGCCTTGGCGGTAGTGATCTCTAAACTTTCTCGAATATTCTTATATAACTCTACAGGAGATGGCACATCACAATATAAACATGATTTTCAATCCATTTTTAATTACTTAAACTTTTTAAAATAGTATAAAAACTCGTAGAAAAAAGAATTGCACACCAAGTGAACGAAAAACAGTATGTGTATAATAGTGCGCAATATTATTAGTACTTTATAAATTCATATGCGTTTTTTTTTTTTTGAGAAATCGGAAATTGCGTAAACTACTACTTCCGTCAACGGAAATTACTCAAAATTTGACAGAAGGTAGAGAATTAGATCTTTTACTTACATGTGAAATTTCATTTATCTATCTGAAATAGTACTCAAGTTATAGGCTTTTGAAAAATTCAAAGTAGAAAAAATACCACTTCCGGTTATCGGAAATCGCTCAAAAGTTGATACGGATCTACAATTTTGATAAAATACTTATATATGAAATTTCATCAACCTAGCTGTAACGGTACTCAAGTTATCGTGTTAACAGACACACAGACACACATACACACTGACATACGGACAGAATTGCAAAGTCCAGTTTTTCAAACTCGATTACGCATAAAACGCCAAAATTTTTATATATCTGGATTTATAATTTTTTCCTGATTAAAACAAGTCCTCTATACTCCGGATGTGATGAAGGACTGAGGTGTAAAGCGGTGAAAACTGTCAAAATTTCATATGCTTTTTCTGCACGATTACAATAATTTCTCTATATTCTGTATACGAGAAAGTAACTAGTATGTGTTTTTAGTAAATAACTGATATGAATAATTACAAAGGATACGTCATTAAAAAACTAGACGTATCCATATTCATTTTTTTTTGTCTTTAACACTCACCTAATCTCACATCACACTAGACTTATGGTCTAACCACTCCACTAATCTCACATCACACTAGACTTATGGTCTAACCACTCACCTAATCTCACACTAGACTTATGGTCTAACCACTCCACTAATCTCACATCACACTAGACTTATGGTCTAACCACTCCACTAATCTCACATCACACTAGACTTATGGTCTAACCACTCCACTAATCTCACATCACACTAGACTTATGGTCTAACCACTCCACTAATCTCACATCACACTAGACTTATGGTGTAACCACTCCACTAATCTCACATCACACTAGACTTATAGTCTAACCACTCCACTAATCTCACATCACACTAGACTTATGGTCTAACCACTCCACTAATCTCACATCACACTAGACTTATGGTCTAACCACTCCACTAATCTCACATCACACTAGACTTATGGTCTAACCACTCAACTAATCTCACACTAGACTTATGGTCTAACCACTCACCTAATCTCACACTAGACTTATGGTCTAACCACTCACCTAATCTCACACTAGACTTATGGTCTAACCACTCACCTAATCTCACATCACACTAGATTTATGGTCTAACCACTCACCTAATCTCACATCAAACTAGACTTATGTTCTAAACACTCACCTAATCTCACATCAAACTCTGAACCTCCCCTCAGATTCTCAACTCAGCACTCATTCATTTCCTCAAGTCTGAAATATTGCCGTAGCGTCTAAATAAAAAGCGCTAAATTTGGAAGATGATGACACCGCCTCCAGCAAATCACATTTCTGGAATCTTGCGACGAATTGAATGATCCTGTCATTGTATCAGGCATGGAATAATGCTCTGGCATTTGTGGGTCTAGTATCATGGCTGTTGTGGCATTTGTGGGTCCCACTATCAAGGCTGATGTGGCATTTGTGGGTCCCAGTATCATGGCTGTTGTGGCATTTGTGGGTCCCAGTATCATGGCTGCTGTGGCATTTGTGGGTCCCAGTATCATGGCTGATGTGGCATTTGTGGGTCCCACTATCAAGGCTGCTGTGGCATTTGTGGGTCCCAGTATCATGGCTGATGTGGCATTTGTGGGTCCCAGTATCATGGCTGATGTGGCATTTGTGGGTCCCAGTATCATGGCTGCTGTGTGGTTCTGTGTGTCCCAGAATCATGTCTGGTGTTCTGTGGGTCCCAGTATCATGGCTGCTGTGGTGTTTTATGGGTCCCAGTATCATGGCTCATGTGGCATTTGTGGGTCCCAGTATCTTGCCTATTGTGTTGTATTGTGGGTCCCAGTATTATGGCTGATGTGGCATTTGTGGGTCCAAGTATCTTGCCTGCTGTGGTGTATTGTGGGTCCCAATATTATGCCGGTGTTCTATGCTGTGATCTATTGCCTAGCACAGAGTACAGAACTTCTCATTGCTGATGCTCTACGGCCTGGCCTAGATCAGAATTTATCCAAATGTACTTCATGTGTACTATGCTCAATTTTTGTATTAAATACAAGTTTGTTTCCAACAAGTATTTCCACAATAACCGGCTTTAAAAAAAAGTTTAGTAACTCATACGCCTCGCGAAATCAGATCGTACTTAAACAATGAGCTCCAACTTGATACGAATTGAACTTAACTTTGGCTTTGTTTTGCTCTAGGAAAAATTGCTTTAAAGGTCAGTACCTGATTTTGTTTTTAAAATAACATTAATGTTTTCACTTTACTGTAGCATTGGCTTTGGTGTTGAAAAAAATAGCTACCTCTAAAATGTCAGTAACTTCTGTTTAAAAAAAAATCCATGAATTCTTCAACGAATTCCAGAATACTGTGGACATTTATTGCTTTTAACAAAACTCTTTTATATGTTTTCTGGTTTGATTGTTTTAATCTTAGAACATTAGTTTCAAACGGTTATTTTTCTCTCTGTTTGAAAGGCTGCTTCCTCAGCAACAAAATGCAATAAAAAATTTCTCCAATGATAATAGGGCTTGTAAGTCTCGGCCTCTCTCGCTTTAAATTCAAAACCTCGTTAGCCAGGGAAAGATATACATTTTCGAAAAAAAAAATTTGTTTTGAACATAATTCCCGTAGACTACAAAAATGACGGCGGCTATTTGTTTAGAGGCCTCGCTTCAAAAATTTTAATTAAATCACCAAGATTTAATGAAACGATTATTTATTTTTTTTTACTAAAAGAATCAAATTTAGTACGGATTCAAATAAAAAAAATAACAAACTGCATGCTTCTTTTTTTTATAAATCACAATCTCACGCAGGCTTTTTTTTTCTTCAATCTTGCCTACATCAGTATCATTTTAATTGTTTAGGGTTTTTTAAAAACAACACCGGAAGTAACTTTTCTATTATTATTTTTCTACCGATTAATAAAAATACTCACATTTGGTTTGAAAAATACTAGCTGGCAAGTCTGAAAACTGGAAGCTGGTAACTTACTTGCAAAGCCTAATTCTTTTTTTTTTCTCATTCCAGGACCAAACGTATTTTTTATTGGCCAACCTGGCCTTCTCTGACCTGATCAAATGTTTGGCCGTGCTGCCCATAAGTCTGGCCAACTTCCTGATACAGAACTGGCTCTTTGGCAGCTTTTTGTGTTTCTTCCTGCCCATGTTGCAGTGTTTCCCTGTACATGCATCTATGCTGACATACCTGACCATCGCTATAGACAGGTAGGTGATGGGGGGAGGGGGGAGTGTGATGGGGGAGTGGGTGATGGGGAGGGTGGGGAGGGTGGTTGGTAATGGGGAGGGTGGTTGGTGGTGGTGAGGGTAATGTGGTGGGGAGGGGAGGGATGATGGGTAATGATGGGTAAATGGAGTTGGGTTAGGAGAGTCTGGTTAGGAGAGTCTGGTTAGGAGAGTCTGGTTAGGAGAGTCTGGTTAGGAGAGTCTGGTTAGGAGAGTCTGGTTAGGAGAGTCTGGTTAGGAGAGTCTGGTTAGGAGAGTCTGGTTTTGAGAAGTGTGGTTAGGGTTAGAAGAGTCTGGTTAGGAGAGTCTGGTTAGGAGAGTCTGGTTAGGAGAGTCTGGTTAGGAGAGTCTGGTTAGGAGAGTCTGGTTAGGAGAGTCTGGTTAGGAGAGTCTGGTTAGGAGAGTCTGGTTAGGAGAGTCTGGTTAGAGTTAGGAGTCTGGTTAGGGTTAGGAGTCTGGTTAGGGTTAGGAGAGAAGTTAAGTGCGAGTAAGAAGACGACATAAGACCAGAACGAACGCGAACGTGAATCAATATGTGACGTCATCTCACCTTGACACTTGAGAATGCCACGGACCTCATAACGAGGCTAGATAAGCTCTACTGTATCGGGTTCTAGCTGTTCTTTCCTGCTAATTAACGCAATCACTTTAATCACCCGTTCTCTCATCGCCTCTCCGAGCTGTCCTGTAATTTGAACCCTCGGCCTAGGAAAAAAAATATTTCACTAAATCGTATTGAACGACACCGTAAAATAACAGGGGAAAGGGGCGGGGGGATTTGTGTTGTAAATTTTGTTTCAAGTAGAAAGTCAGGGTTGTGAAAGGTGTGGAAGTTATGACACTCTGCCTCACACTTTGTCACACATCCTGGATGACACACTCACTCTGGCATCCTAATACACGATCTAATCCACATTAATCTAAAAGATTATCTGCACTAATCGAAAAGATTATCTGCACTAATCTAAAAGATAACCACCCCTAACAGAGAACTACCTACTAGATAAGCTGCCCCCAATGTGCACCAATCTACAAGATTATTACCCCTAAATGAGTATTACTAATAAGATAATCTGCCCCTACTGTACACTAGAAGATTATCTGCCCCTACTGCACACTAATAAGATAATCTGCCCCTACTGTACACTAGAAGATTATCTGCCCCTACTGCACACTAAAAGATTACCTGCCCCTACTGTACACTAAGAAGATTATCTGCCCCTAGTGTCCACTTGAAGATTACCTGCCCCTACTGTACACTAACCTAGAAGATTATCTGCCCTTACTGTACACTAGAAGATTATCTGCCCCTACTGTACACTAACCTACAAGATTATCTGCCCCTACTGTCCACTAGAACATTATCTGCCCCTACTGTACACTAGAAGATTATCTGCCCCTACAGTACACTAGAAGATTATCTGCCCCTACAGTACACTATAAGATTATCTGCCTCTACTGTACACTAACCTAGAAGATTATCTGCCCCTACTGTACACTAACCTAGAAGATTATCTGCCCTTACGGTACACTAGGTGATTATCTGCCCCTACTGTACATTAACCTAGAAGATTATCTGCCCCTACTGTACACTAACCTAGAAGATTATCTGCCCCTACTGTACACTAACCTAGAAGATTATCTGCCCCTACTGTACACTAACCTAGAAGATTATCTGCCCCTACTTACATTAACCTAGAAGATTATCTGCCCCTAATGTACACTAACCTAGAAGATTATCTGCCCCTACTGTACACTAACCTAGAAGATTATCTGCCCCTACTGTACACTAACCTAGAAGATTAGCTGCCCCTACTGTACACTAACCTAGAAGATTATCTGCCCTTACTGTACACTAACCTAGAAGATTATCTGCCCCTACTGTACACTAACCTAGAAGATTATCTGCCCTTACTGTACACTAACCTCGAAGATTATCTGCCCCTACTGTACACTAGCCTAGAAGATTATATGCCACTTCTGTACACTAACCTAGAATATTTTCTCTTAACATTGTAACCCTACCTCACACACTTAAGCACATATTTCTAACCGGAGTCTCAAATGTTTTCCTCCATCTTTCCCCTAAACCTGATCAGCTGAACGATCGATTTGTTTCTCGGATTTATATTGATTACACCCCCTCCCCTTCCCCCAGTTTTCGTCCACTAAATCCTTCCGCCATCCGACAATTTCACGCCGGAATTTTACGTTAGAATCTAACACGTTTTATTTTTTTTAAATCTTACATCCTAATTGATTTATCCCTGAATTATAGACTGCTGATTGGATTAATTCGCCCTTGACCTTGTTGTGTTATTGATTGGAAGAATCGATTTCCATGTGTTGTTTTTTTTCTCCTGCTACTAAAAAACCGTTTGATGTACTCGCCCTTTAAAGCGGTATCGATTTATTTCTAATATCGATGCTAACTCCAGCCTTCTTCTCCCCAGGTATCGACTGATAGTCCACCCCTTCAAGAGCCGATTACCAGCTGGGCTGTGTGTGATCGCCGTGTGGGTTGGCTCCGTGTGTGTGGTGCTGCCCTACGCCATCTACATCAAGTACATCGATCTCGGCGCCTCTCTAGGTGGGTTGTCGTTCTTGGTGGATGTGGGGGGGTTGTGGTTCTTGGTGGGTGTGGGGGGGGTTGTGGTTCTTTGTGGGTGTGGGGGTTGTGGTTCTTGGTGGGTGTGGGGGGGGTTGTGGTTCTTTGTGGGTGTGGGGGTTGTGGTTCTTGGTGGGTGTGGGGGTTGTGGTTCTTGGTGGGTGTGGGGAGTTGTCGTTCTTGGTGGGTGTGGGGGGTTGTCGTTCTTGGTGGGTGTGGGGGGTGGGGGTTGTCGTTCTTGGTGGGTGTGTGGGGGTTGTGGTTCTTGGTGGGTGTGGGGGTTGTCGTTCTTGGTGGGTGTGGGGGGGTGTGGGGGTTGTCGTTCTTGGTGGGTGTGTGGGGGTTGTGGTTCTTGGTGGACGTGGGGGTTGTCGTTCTTGGTGGGTGTGGGGGTTGTGGTTCTTGGTGGGTGTGGGGGTTGTGGTTCTTGGTGGACGTGGGGGTTGTCGTTCTTGGTGGGTGTGGGGGGTTGTGGTTCTTGGTGGGTGTGGGGGGTTGTGGTTCTTTGTGGTTGTTTGTGGTTGCGTGGGTTGTGGTTCTTGGTGGGTGTGTGGGTTGTGTGGGTTGTGGTTCTTGGTGGGTGTGTGGGTTGTGTGGGTTGTGGTTCTTGGTGGGTGTGCGGGTTGTGGTTCTTGGTGGGTGTGCGGGTTGTGGTTCTTGGTGGGTGTGCGGGTTGTGGTTCTTGGTGGGTGTGCGGGTTGTGGTTCTTGGTGGGTGTGTGGGTTGTTGTTCTTTGTGTTTGTGGGGGTTGTGGTTCGTTGTGGTTGTGAGTTGGAGTTTTAGGTGGATGGGGTTGTGGTTCTTGGTAATAGGAGGGTTGTGTTTCTTGGTGGATGGGGTTGTAGTAGTGATTCTTGGTGGATGGGTGGATCGTAGTTTGTGTTTGATAAGTAGGTTGTGGTCCTTGGCTAATGGGGTTGTGGTCCTTGATTGATTAGTGTTTTGTTTTTAAATAATTAATTACTGGTTTTCAGTTCATTTTTAATTGGTAGATTTAGTTCCTATAAACTAGTTATACTAATGGTGGTAGAATATATTTCACAGACATCATTATGGGGTAGCCCATGGCAAACTGACGTCAACTACTAATTGGCATGCTCAATCAACCTAATACTTGCAATTATAAATAGTCTCTAGACACAATCCATAAATAGCAACTAACACGATAAGGTTGCAGGCATAACTTTTTTTTAATGTGCTAAAAACCAAAAACCTTCAGAAAGATTAAAACACCCAAACTCCAAAAAGATTTTAACACCCAAACCTTCATGAAGATTTTAACACCCAAACCACGAGACAGATTTTGAGATTTTTATTTTTTGTGTCGTACGCAGCGTGAAGACATCTGCAGTTATCGAATAATCCGGATAGCCTCCCTTGCGTTAATTACCTCCCCTGGCTGGATGTATTCCCCACTTGATATTCCTGACATGCAACACGGGGCAAGAAGAGACGCGAGTTTTCGTTTCGCGTCTGGTTCAAGTGTGCTTTCAAATTACCCGCCCGTCTGTCTGCAAGACGGAGGCGTGATTTGAAGGGGCGTTGACACGGGAGGTGGGGAGGGGGGGGTCAGTTCGTCTGCGTTGCATTTTGGTACGTCAGTTTTGCTCATATCTGTAGGGGTCAAATAACATTCGCGTGGACGGCCGATCGCTCAACATTAATTATAGAACTCTAATGACACGCATAAGATATTACCGAAATAACCTTGATTGGCCCTCATCAGGGATGGGTTGGCCCGCCAATCTACCGGGAAAAATCCCGGTGCCCCCCCCCCCCCCCCCCCAAGAAAAAATCTAGATGGGTGCCGCGAGTGGTGCTGTAATAGCGCTATAAGTGTTTTAATTTTTTTAATTTTTTTGTTTAACTGTTGTTTTTTCTACATTTTACCATTTGGATTCCTTCATACAAAATAGTTAAATTCATTGTTTCTCATGGAGCAAAAAAAAAAAAACAACAGTGTAATGAAAATTCCAATCCAAGGTTAAGGGGGGGGGGGCTTTTAAAAATTTCCCGGGCCCCTTGGACACACCCAGTTCAACCCTGACCCTCACAGAGACACGCACGACACTTGTCAACAAGGTCATTAACAAATCCAAATTAAATAACAAATGTATTATTTTGGAAAATAAGTTTAAATCCTTTGTATTTGTTGAATGATTTTTATCTTTTTTGGTTTCCATTGAACCAAATGTTTGGTTTTTCCACTAAGTAAATTAGACCTCATTAAAATGGTTTCACTTCTTTTTAGAAAAAATGTTTCTATATAAAGCTCGATTAATTAAATTAATTAGCCACTTGCGCAAGTGTCAAAAAAATAATCACCCCATTGACACGGTTCTATATTGATGAGTAGTGATGACGTCATCATCTAATAATGTAAGGAGGAATTTTTTTATGTAACATGCGTACAGACAAGTTATCAGACAGGTCTACATGAGATGGGAGGAGGGGGGGTAGAGACAAGTTACCTGACAGGTCTACACGGGGAGGGTGGTAGGGACAAGTTACTGGAGGGGAGTCTATATGGGGAGGGGGGAGCTAGAGACTACATGAGGGAGGGGGAGCTAGAGACAAGTTACCTGACAGGTCTACATGAGGAGGGGGTAGGGTAAAGGGTTAGGCACCAGGTTGTAGATATGGGGTTGTAATCGTTGGTCAACGTGGTGGGGTGGTAGAGCGCACGACGTCTAACCCGAAAATTCTAGGTTCGTATCCCGTGCCCTCGGAGCTCCCGAGAGTCCATCCAGCTCTGGTAGAACTGACCACACTATCCTGTCATAGGCTGAGGTCACGGTGACAGGTAAACTCTACTCCACCTGCACTATTGTTGACGGTCAGAATCAGATACGAAAGGGGTTTTCGAGTGGATGAGGGTGGGGGAGGGGGGGGGGGGGTTGTGGGGCTGATATAATCCTTACGGAAATCGACTGGCGTTATGTTTTGGCGACAGTGCGATATATATATATATATATATATATATATATATATATATATATATATATATATATATATATATATATATATATATATATATGACCCCCCCATGTTTCTCTAGAACATGGTCCGTGATTTTAAAAAAAAACCTTCTAGACATATTGTCTGGTTCTCGCCATTTAGAATGTACGAGTGGATAAAAAATTTTAAACATAATTTAAGGATTCACAACCATTTATCATCAAACTTGAACTAAAAAATGTCCGAAACATTCCCAGAAATTTTTTTTTAAAATCACATGGTGTATTGACCGATTGAAATTTGGTGTTCAGGTCGATGGGTGTGTGGTGTTTAGGCCGTTGGGGATGTGGTTTTTAGGCCGACGGGTGTGTGGTGTTCAGGTCGACGGGTGTGTGGTGTTTAGGCCGATGGGAATGTGTTGTTATGGCCGATATTGGTGTGGTGTTTAGGCCGATGTGGATGTGGTGTTTAGACCGATGAGGGTGTGACGTTTAAGACCAATGGACAGAGTTCCTAGAAATGTAATAAAACGATAATTCTGATTGGGTCAAACTGTCCCCTATTTTATCACATTCCGCCTCCAATATCTCCTGAATTAGCAAGTCCCTCCACACAAGCAACCCTCCCAGATTCCCGACAACAGCCAAAGAAAAGGCGAGCCGTCTGATGCTCATGTGGTGAGGTTCGAGCGAAATGTCGTGATATAAGCAAGGCGCGGGCTAAAAATAGCATCATAAGAATTCCCGGTACGTCCACTGACGGATACAAGTAATTCCAATTTAGAGAATCGAATCCATCAATTGAAAACAATTATTGCGATGTCTAGCAAAGCGGGTATGTGGCGGTTTGGCTGGAGGGTGTAGGTTGCTGTAGGTTGTAGGTTGTTATATATTATTGGAGGTTGGAGGTTGCTATAGATTGTTGGAGGTTGTAGGTCACATTAAGTTGCTGTCGGCTGTAGCTTGCTGGAGGTTGCTGGCGATTGTTGTAGGCTGCTGTAGGTTTTTGTATATTACTGTAGGTTGCTGGAGGTTGCTGGCGATTGTTGTAGGCTGCTGTAGGCTTCTGTATATTACTGTAGGTTGCTGTAGCTTGCTGTAGCTTGCTGTTGGTTTTTGTATGATGCTGTAGGTTTCTGTATATTACTTTAGCTTGCTGTAGGTTGCTGTAGGTTGATGTAGCTTGCAGTAACTTGCTGTTGGTTTTTGTATGATGCTGTAGGTTGTTGTAGGTTTTTGTAGGTTGCTGTAGGTTTCTGTATATTACTGTAGGTTGCTGTAGCTTGCTGTAGGTTGATGTAGCTTGCTGTAGGTTGCTGTAGCTTGCAGTAACTTGCTGTTGGTTTGTGTATGATGCTGTAGGTTGTTGTAGGTTTTTGTAGGTTGCTGTAGGTTGCAATAGGCTGCTATAGGTTGCTGTATGCTGTTGTAGGCTGTTGTAGTTTGCTATAGGTTGTTGTAGCTGCAATAGGTTGCTGTGGGCTTTTTTATGTTGTTGTATGTTCCTATAGGTTGCTGTAGGTTCCTGTATGTTCCTATAGGAACACCTGACAGCCTACAGCTAAGCCCATGTCCTGGCCCATGTCTGGCCATCATCACTAGCCGAGGTTATGGGTTTTTTTTTCGGGGGGCGGGAAGGGGGGGGGTATCTCTAGAACCCCATCTAGTCGACTCGCAAATCAATAACATGATTTTAAAAAGTATTGAACGGTGATCCACACCCCCACCCCACGGGTCCTGCCTGAGAATACATTATCCCCACGGTGGGAGCGGAGTGCCCCTGGTTACATAATTCTCCAACGTTGGGAGGGGAGGGGGGAGTAGTCAGCAAGCGCTTTACAGGCGCTCGAATTTTGGGGTGCAAGGATTTGAGAATTGCATTACGTGCGTTTTAAAATTTTAATATTGATAGGGTGCTATTTTGTAGAAGGGGGGGGGGGGGCTTCTATGAAACTAAACGTGGTAAAAACTATAATAGAACAGTACAGAAATGTAGTTGAGTTGGAAACTAGAACTTATTGGAACTATAATACGACAGTATGGGGATGTAACTGTTTGAAACTAAATAGACCTTGTCAGGGCTATAATCAGAGTATCCGATTCCTCCCGGAGACCCAGCTGTCTGGGGGAGAGACGGTGCAATCTATCGATAGCTGCTGTCTCGATATCTGCTGTCTCGATATCTGCTGCCTCGATATCTGCTGCCTCGATATCTGTTGCCTCCATATCTGCTGCCTCGATATCTGCTGCCTCGATATCTGCTGCCTCGATATCTGCTGCCTCGATATCTGCTGCCTCGATATCTGCTGTCCTTGTGTGGCATCAGACTATCTTAGCACTTGTTTAACCCCTTTCGACCCATATCAAATTATCTCGACATTCAATGCCCTTACAACCTAGTCGTGTGCTGACTACCCCACTGAATGAAGATTTAGCGCCTTAAAATTCGATCAGTCTAAAAAGAAACTTAAACGTTCAGTGTTAGGATAGCTCGCATTCTACTGATGATCACATTACGTTCTAACCATAATCTGGTACAATGAACCTTAACGTCAATGTTCTACTCAAATACTGAGTGGTGTTCATATTAGCTTTGGTTTGACCACTTATCCACCCTGCTTGTGTGATCACCTTATCTCTTTGACCACTTGTTAGACCCCTTGTACCCTTCCTCTGACCAATGCCCACTTTGCCTCTTACCATTGCCCACCCTCCCACTAACCATTATCCACCTTCCCTTCCCAGGTGACGATTTTGTCGGTGTGGGCATCTGCTTCGTGTTTGGTGAGCGGCGTATCGAGGAATACCTACGGGCCATGTTCGTCACCCTCTACGCCATGCCCCTGGCCGTCATGGCTCTCCTGTACGTCCGCGTATCCGCCGAGTTCAAATCCAGGGAGACGTCCTTCATCTCGGTCCACTTCACGCAGAACATCACCAGCGCGGACCCGGACCAGGACCGCGCCAACCGGATCAGCCCGCCGTGGCCCGCGGTCGAAAACTACAAAACCACCATCATCCAAGCGGCGCCCCCGGCGTCGGTAGACGCCCCGCCGGCGTTTTTCAACAACGGCACGGGCGTGACGGTCCCCCCGCCCAGGTCTGAGTTCCCGGAACGTGCTCACTCCCAGCGCTACCAGCGCAGCCCGACCTGCAGCGGCGACGGCAGCAGCACCGCCAGCAGCCACCACCACCACCACCACCACAGACACATCAAGTCCACCCACGCTAGCCGCGCGGCCCACGTCACGGAAGACGAGCTCGACATCGAGAAGGAGAAGCGGGCCCAGAACTACCTCATCACCATGACGACGCTGTTCGGCATCTGCTGGTGCCCGCTGCACATCCTGTTCCTGGTCACCTTCTTCGTGCACGAGACCAACGCCAACACCGACCACTACGACATCACCTACATCCTCTTCGCCTGGTTCGGTTTCCTCTCCACCTGTACCACCCCCGTCCTGTTCGCCTCCTGGAGAATGTCGGACGCCACCAAGGACCGGCTCCGGGGCTACTTCCGGTTCAGCAACCGGCCCCGCACCTCCAACTGTTCTCAGGTAAGTCTTGACCACAGGACATGGCACCACACCTGGACTGACCGTAAAATTCCAGAACAAGTAAGTGTTGTAAATTTGTACTTAACGATCGACCTTGAACTTAAAAACATCAACCTAGATAACTCAGATATCTTCACACATCCCCCCCACCCCCCACCCAGAGGCGTAGCGACCCTTCCCGGCGCCCGGGGACATACTTCCAATTTGGCGCCCCCTCGAGAGCAAATTTTCGATTTGCACCCCCCCTCGAACTTTTCATTTGCACCCCCCCCTCAAACTTTCGATTTGCACCCCCCCCCCTCGAACTTTTCATTTGCACCCCCCCCCCCCCCTCAAACTTTCAATTTGGCGCCCCCCCTAAGGTCGGCGCCCGGGGACATATGTCCCCCCCCGCCCCCCCCCCTCGCTACGCTACTGCCCCCACCCCCAACTGACTGCCGAAAAGTTGCCCTGTACCAAAGCTACAGCATAACGTCTTTAAGATTGATTTTTAATCACAGTAACCAGACATAGCAAGCTGACACTTGAAAATTTCACTTTGGGATATATGGGGGCTGGGATAGGGACTGGATAGGGGCTGGGGTAGGGGCTGGGGTTGGGGCTGGGGCTGGAGTAGGGGCTGGGGTAGGGGCTGGGGTAGGGGCTAGCACAGGCTGGGTTGTTTCAAAAATGTGCCCTCCACTTTCCGGTTAAATCTTGTTCCAGTACAGACTTGAGTTTCTGCAAGTCAGGGGTCGGGTTTCTCTCGGATAATTTTCTCCGGAGGTGCTCTGAAAACTTCCGGAAGAAGGGGAAGGAAACTAGTTCAAGTTCACATTTTCTAAATATATTTTTTCTACTCGGCCCAGTGGTGAGTAAGGAGGGGGGAGGGGGAGCTCTAACCCCAGGAGAAATACCTGAAAGAAACACTGGTTAAGGTTGAGACGTCCCCTCAGACCAGTGTAAGCACCAGAATAAATGCGTCACTTTCAATTTATGGTTACCATTTTATAATGCGATCCCAGAATAATCCTAGTATCCCAGTGCTAATGTGACCCCTAAACCCTCCTAGTATCCCAGTGGTATTGTGTGTGTGTGTGTGTGTGTTTTTATACGTGTGCTTGTATGTGTGCTTTATGTATGTTTGTTTGTATGTATATTCGCGTGTTTTTCGTGTGCTTATGTATATATATATATATATATATATATATATATATATATATATATATATATATATATATATATATATATATATATATATATATATATATATATATATATATATATATATATATATTTAAACAAATGTATGTTTGTGTGTGTGTGTGTGTGTTAGACCGTCCAAGAAAACTTGGAACTCTAGGAAATAAATACGAGCAGCCAACACATAATCGATGCCATGACCGCCATGTTTTTCTGGTTTTTTTGTTTACTTTCGCTTTCTGATCAATCAACGAGAAACAGTTTGAGAAGATCTGTGATAACTCGTTCTGACATCAATGTGGTGGGGGGGGGGGGAGGGTGGAAAATGTTTCAAGATCAACGGCACTGTATCGTACATAAAGGGGTCCACAAAAATAACGTTACGGAAGAGGGAGGTAAGGTGCCTGATAGACATTTGATTAGAGAAGGGGTGGGGGGGGGGGTAGGTCCTAGATATATACGACTGGGAGAGGGGACCAAAAAAAATGTTGATGAGAATTGTGTGAGTTTATTGAATGAGCGGCAAAGTTCGATACGACACCGGCTAGACTGGTCCAAACTCGATTCCCTGGGGGTCAGGGTGGCGCCAGCCCGACCCTGGGGCCACGCCGCCCCACCCCTGACGTTTCTCGTCGTTTTCAGATCTATACCCGGGGCCGCGCCGCCCCACCCTTGAAGTTTCTCGGTCTTTTCATATCTATGTGCAAGTTTTTTTTGTTTTGTTTTTTCGGTTTTTTTTTCTGGTTCCATAATTTAATCGAACGTAGTTTCCTCATATTCGATGTCAGAGTCTTGTACGTGTAGGCACCAGGAAATTGTAGGGTGGGGGTAGTTGTGGTTGATACACTTAGATGTGGTGGTAGTTGTGGTTGGTAGTTTTTGTTGGCCAGCTGTAATTCGTGGGTAGTTTTTGTTGGCCAACTTTGACGTGCCGGTAATTTAGATTGGCCAACACCAATATTTACGATACGAGACACTTGCCACCCAGCATCCTCGGTGTTTGAACCCAACCAACCCAATAAATATTTGGCCGACTAATTTATGCCGGTGTTTGAACCCAACCAACTTCAATAAATATTTGGCCGACTAATTTATGCCGGTGTTTGAACCAAACCAACTCTAATAAATATTTGGCCGATTAATTTATGCCGGTGTTTGAACCCAATCAACTCCAATAAATATTTGGCCGATTAATTTATGCCGGTGTTTGAACCCAACCAACTCCAATAAATATTTGGCCGATTAATTTATGGCGGTGTTTGATCCTAACCAACTCCAATAAATATTTGGCCGACTAATTTATGCCGGTGTTTGAACCCAACCAACTCCAATAAATATTTGGCCGATTAATTTATGGCGGTGTTTGAACCTAACCAACTCCAATAAATATTTGGCCGACTAATTTATGCCGGTGTTTGAACCCAACTAACTCCAATAAATATTTGGACGACTAATTTATGCCGGTGTTTGAACCCAACCAACTCCAATAAATATTTGGCCGATTAATTTATGCCGGTGTTTAAACCCAACCAACTCAAATATTTGGCCGATTACATTATGCCGGTGTTTGAACCCAACCAACTCCAATAAATATTTGGCCGACTAATTTATTCCGGTTTTTGAGCCCAACCAACCCCAATAAATATTTGGCCGACTAATTTATTCCGGTTTTTGAGCCCAACCAACCCCAATAAATATTTGGCCGACTAATTTATTCCGGTTTTTGAGCCCAACCAACCCCAATAAATATTTGGCCGACTAATTTATGCCGGTGTTTGAACCCAACCAACTCCAATAAATATTTGGCCGACTAATTTATGCCGGCCCTGGCCAGGCCCACCCTATTGAAGAGCCCGCCTGGCCAGTTGAGCTCCAGCCGCCATTACTCTGTGTGTGTATCCCATAAGTTCTGGGCTTTCATGGTCTATAGACGCTTCCGGTCGTGGCCAGCTACACCGTTCGTGTCTGTGGGAATGTTCGGGTAAATTTGCCAGTTTGTAAGTGGGTGCCATTTATCTACCGGGCCTACCCCGCCTGTAAATTTGCTTTTTACTTTGACACGGGGGAAATCGATGGTTCACCCTAGTCGGAGCGATCCTGTTTACAATGGGGGTGGGGGTGAATTTGAAGGGGGGTGGGGGAGAGTCCAGACAAGTTAGTCAGGACAAGCGAAACTTTGAGTGCAGGGATAATATTAAAGGGAGAGGGTTAACATTTTGGTTGTGGTGGGGTGGGGGGGGGGGGGTTGCACGGGAGAGAGGGGGTCACAATTTCAGCTACGGGTACAGAAATGTTCAAGTAGAAATAAATCTTCTCTAAGACTGGACTACACTGAGGTCGAGCTGGTCAGAGATTTTCCCAGTCACTTGGTCAGTTTTGCATATATATTTCGCTGCCATAGAACCGGACTGTTGTAAAGGGGGCGGGGATGGGGGGGGGGGCGTCCGTATATGACGTCACACTCCAAGGGGAGGTGGGGTTTGTTGGTGATGTGTGATGGAGAGGAAGGGTGAGTAAAAGATCGTCCCAAAAAAAGTGACGTCATTTATGGATGACCGCAACTCTATTTTTCGTTTCCTTTTTTTAAAGATGAATACTTCGCCATCTACAAACCCGTCAAGTAAAAAAAAAAACTCGTGGCTGAATCTCTTACCATTATTACAAAACAATCGCATTTTATCCAGTGTGTTTAATATAGAATTGTTAAGGAGAAGAAAATTCAAAACTTGTCGTATATATCATTTTATTTATATATATATATATATATATATATATATATATATATATATATATATATATATATATATATATATATATATATATATATATATATATATATGTATTGTTAGATTACATGGTCTTAATTTAAAATATAGTGTCCTTGTGTTACTGCGTGGTTGAGGAACCTAAAAACATAAACAATTGTTATCGTAGTGAGAGGAAATTAGGTGAAACTCTCATGCAATTTATCGAAGCCTTACTAAAAGTAAAGTGACCGTGCTTTATCTAAAACTTTCTTGAACAGATTCAATGCTGGCATGTCTTTGATTGTGAATTAATTAAATGAGTTTATGTCAACCTTACGGGTGTCAACGGGTTGTCGCTGGGAGCGCACGCTGATAGATATATACCCGTGCCAACCTTTGTGTTCTCCGGCTAGATGGTCGGATCAGGGGAGAAAACTCGACTTGGTTACATGGCCGCCAGTAGTCCCCCTTTATTTATAGCACTGCTTGCGGTGGGCAAATTAATGGTCAGACGATACTGGATCAATAGCAACATTGGAACAACATGGGTGGGGGGGGGATGGGCGTAAGTGATAAGGAAAGTAACCAAGTTGGACAATGGTTAAGTAGGGGCTAAGACATAGACAGACAAAACAAAGACAGGCAACACAAAGACAGACCAGACAAAGACAGACAAGACGCAGACAACACAAAGACAGACAACACAAAAACAGACAAGACAAAGACAGACAACATAAAGACAGACAAGACAAAGACAGAAAACATAAAGATAGACAACATAAAGACAGACAAAGATAGACAAGACTTAGGCAACACAAAGACATACAACACAAAGACAGAAAACATAAAGACAGACAACATAAAGACAACACAAAGACAGACTACACAAACACAAACATCATAAAGACAGACAACACAAAGACAGACAACACAAAGACAGACAACACAAAGACAGAAAACATAAAGACAGACAACATAAAGACAACACAAAGACAGACAAAACAAAGTCAGGCAAGACAAAGACAGACAAAACAAAGACAACACAAAGATAAGACAACACAAAGACAGATA